GGAACCCGACCACAAGCACCCAGCCTGGGAGACAAATGAAAAGAACTTGGAGACAAATGAAAAGAAGTGGGAACCACAAGCATTGAGCCTGGGAGACAAATGAAAAGAAGTGGGAGACAAATGAAAGGACGGGAGACAAGCCAGCCGGGAACCCGACCAGACCATCCAGCACCAAGGCGACCATTCTTTAAAGCATTGAGAACCCCTAACAGTAAACTGTTTGGGGAAAAACCGCGTCGAGATCTGGTTGGGAGTTCTCTTTCCCGAAGCTTCACACCAATTTCAAGAAGTGTCTTGTCGCTGCCGTTATGGGGAAGGACCATGCTCGAACAACTAGGTGACAACACCACCATGGAAGACTGTCACGAAGAAACGTCCTAGCTGGATAATGATTTTGGGCTGGACGTGAAAAATTTCGGCCATGGAGGATCTCCCCCAGCACCCAGGGTACCCGGAGGAAAGCTCGACGAAAATGTCGGACCGGAAGAGCGCGACCGATGTGGCAGTCGCGACACGACCCCGTTCTCAGCACGCCAGAGAGAGTGCTCTCCGACAGGACGCGCTCCACATCCAAATATGTGACCGCGTCCGTGCCTGGCCAAAAGACCGGCGGAACGAAATGCAGCAGTCATGGACTCGGACGTGGATCATGAACGAACACGAAGGTGTGAGAGTCAGTCCTGGGAATATATGCAGTGCTGGGAGTATGGTTGGTCCCCCTCCCCGTCCGCAAGCGAACCGGACGCAAAGCCACGCGGCCAAAAGTATCTCCGCCCCGCAACCCGACGACGCCGGGTGGCCTCGATGCGGGCCCGAGTCGACCGAGCACCAGTGGGAGTGGATGCGGTCCATTGGCCGGACCCCCTCCGCCCGGATGCGAGGCCAGGAGCGGGCAGAGGTGTAGCGCACGCCTGACAGGGAAGCGCACGTGTCACCGAAAAGAACTGGAAATTCGAGGGGGCCGAGCTTCTCCAAAACACGCGCGTCGACTGAGTGCAGGCACGGAGCTGCGAAGCCACGGCGATCCGCTGCAAATCGAACTTGTCTTGCAAGACCTGAATGCGGTGGGTGGAAAGAGAGAGAGAGAGAGAGAAGGCCTGGCTGTGTGTATGCGCCAAGACCACGAAAGGGAAATTGCAGGTAAAGTTCAACGAACGAAAAAGACTGCCGAGGCACACCCGCCAAACAGCGCAAGTTCCCTTGGCAGGCCCGGATGCGAGCGCCGCACATGTGGAATCTGCCCTTCTTGTCCTCCCGTACCAACCAACCGCGCGAGCCCAGACCTGAGCCCGCCGTGGTGCGGTGCGGGCGAAAAAGCACATCGAGGCCACAGTCTGGAGGGAAGTGGCTGGAGCACTACCAAAAAAAGTCGACGCCAAAAGTGCGACAGTCCCCTGAAGGAAAGGTCTACAGGGGCACAGCGTGGCAAAGTACTACCCTGGTGGTCGGTCACACGGCTGCACGCGCACGCGCGCGCAGGCACAGCGTCAGCGGCAAAGGGCTCGGTGTTGGAGCAGCGCACCGATGTCCACCGTGGCATCCGCCGCCAGGTCGAGGCCATGGCCGGTTCGAAGCAGACGCCTTGCGAGAGCCCAACCATGTCTGTGTCCGTCTGTCGTTTGGTCTCCCCGTCACCGCGCGGCTGACGCAAGTTCAGACAGCAAAAAGGCATGGACCGGCCCCTAAAGAGGATCAGACACAAACATTCCGACAAAGTTTCTCCCCAACACATGGGGGCGACCACGGCCCGCCCAGAAACACGGACCCCGAGTCCACATCGCGTCCATCCAGGCAACTCTGTCACACGAAGCTCACCAAGGGGCCGGGAGGGCACCAGCCGCAAGCACTGTCACAGCGGTCAGGCGCAGACAGGGGCCATGGCCTACGTGGCACCTCTCACAGGAAAGGTACCGGGAACCTCGACTTAGAAAAAAAAACTGCGTTCGTCCTTATTTCTGGCCTTGACCAGCCCCTTTAGAGTTCAATGGGGTGGTCATGGGAGTCACATAGTTAGTGGGGTAGACCTGCAAGAAGGGGAAACATCTGGTTCCTGCTCTGCTGGGCTCGGAGGACTCTGGCAGAGCAAAAAAAATCGTTCTTGTTGAGGGTGTTCGGGACAGGCTTAGAGACAATCTGTCTTACATACATCAGCTATGGGTTTCCTGTTCAGGGTCTGATAGGTGTCATTGAACATGGTATGTCTGGAGCCGAAAAACCCAGAAATCGAGTCGTCGAAGTCTCTGGCAGTCCTATTCCGAGAAGAGTTCTCGAAGCATGTCCCCCTCAACCAGCAAGTGGGAGTCCAAACCTGCTTTACGTACAGCTTGGCATCAAATGAAGTGGTAGTCACCTTGTTCCGTGTCAAAATCAGGGTATCCACCAATAGGTCTGAAGAACAAAAACAGGACACATGTTTTGTTTTCGTCCAAAGTATTGCTGGGTCGGTATGGCTAGCAAATTACAAAAAGACCGGACCTTCACCCCGCTGAGGGCAAATACGTTGGAACCGGGGCATTCTTAGCAAAGCCCTGCGAAACGTACGGTTGCGTCGAAGAGTTGTGAGGCATGCATGTTTTGTAAGCTGTGTGTCGCTGCCGATGTTCACATGCACGGTTCAAGTACATGCTTCCTTTACAAAAACGGATCCGCAGAGACCATGAGTGCAAACAAACCTTTGGGAACTGGCTCACAAGTAGCAAGGCATGAATTTTGCCCACCATCCTGTCAGCTGGCAGAGTGGACTAGTATGGCCCAAGTTTTCTCAAGTTAGGCCTGTGGGTCGGCTAGGCATAGCCCTAGGACAGGGAGACCTATGGGCAGCGCTAGGCAGAGGCCCTGGACAGACCCCAGTCTATCCCTCCGCTTCCTCTCTCTCCGTCTCTGTCCCTCTCCCTTCATCTCTCTCTCTCTCTCTCTCCCTCCCTCTCCCTCCCTCTCCCTCTTCCTCGAAACAGGGAGGAGGAGGAGGAGGGAGGGGGGTGGAAGCGAAAGGGGTGGGGACAGACAGGGACGAAGAAGAGGAAGGGAAAGGTGCCACCCGAAAGTGCCGGCTTTACCATTTCCGGCACTTTCGCGGGGTGTTCTTCCTTCGCCGGACTTTCGGCCACGGTCGGGTGAGGGCGCCAGAAACAGAAAGGGTGCCGGATCAACGGGACGACGGAGGGACACGGAGGAGAGGGAGACAGCGGTCGGAAAGCGAGGGAGGAAGAGAGGGGTAGAAAGAGGCAGGAAAAGGAATATATGGAAGGGAGTGGTCCCACCCGAAAGTGCCGGCTTGGCCATTTCCGCCCCTTTCGCGCGGTTTATTTCCTTCGCCGAACTTTCGGCAATGGCAGAGAGAAGGCACAAGAAACAGAAACGCAGCAGGAGAAACAGGGCGATGGAGGGAAAAGGAGCGAGAACGAAGGAGAGGAAGCGAGGGACAGGGAGGGAAGAGGGACGCAGACGGGAGACAGAGGCGGCGGGAGGGAGAGGAGGATGGACGGGGGAGGGAGAGGCAGGAATCCGCTGGGAGAGGGAGAGGGAGGCGGAGGGCAAGGACGAGGCATCTCTCCCTCTTCCATTTCCTCGCTCCCTCTGCCTCGCTCTTCCTCGCTTTCCCTTTTCCTTCCTACCGCTTACTTCCGGTCTCTCCTTTTGTCTCCCTCTTCTTCTCTCCCGTTTCCTCTCTCTCCCGCTCTCTCCTTCTTGAGAGAGGTGATAGAGAGAGAGAGAGAGAGCACGAAGGAAAAGGACAGGAAAGAGGGGTGACAAAAAAGACAGCGAGTAAGGAAAGACTGCGGATTGGCCTGGGGGTAGGCTAGGCATAGGCCTGGGATAGGCCTATGCCTAGCGCTACCCCTAGGCTGGCCATGCGCTACCCCTAGGCCTAGGATAGGCCTATGCCTAGGCTAGGCATAGGCCTAGGATAGGCCTATGGATAGCGCTAGGCATAGGCCTAGGATAGGCCTATGGCTAGCCTAGGCATAGGCCTATGGATAGCGCTAGGCATAGGCATAGGATAGGCCTATGGATAGCGCTAGGCATAGGCCTAGGATAGGCCTATGCCGAGGCTAGGCATAGGCCTATGATAGGCCTATGGGTAGCGCTAGGCTAGCTCCCTAGGCCCCTGGGATAGGGGCTACCCTGGCTCGAGTATAGGGGTAGCTGTGGGAGTTCTGTATGGATTTTTGAAGATGTTTGGCGGATAGAGAGTTTGGAAGTACGTACCTGGACCCGTTGGATATAGGTCCAGGAGTGTCATCAATCCCATGAACAAAACTCGTAATTACCTGACCAAGTTCCACAAAACGGACAAACCAGAACTCATCAACCAAGCCACCAATCTGTGAGAACGTCTAGAGTCTATACATCCCCTGTGAGAGGGCCACTTTGACGAAGAACACTCACGCCCCATTCGATCGGTCGGAAACACTTCGACAAAAAGTTCGACAAACACTGGGCTCTTCTGGCCTTGGCAAACTCGAGGTGGCTTTCGAAGGCATCCCCCCATAAACTCCTCCGAGAGCAAGATGCCTCAAGACCATTCGAGACTCACCAAGAAAGGGGCGAGTTAAGCAAGGTTCATCGGTTCATATCTGTTCTTATTGGGTCTGCAAAGGCCCAAATTGGTGAAATTGAAGCTCCAAGTGAAGATGTGCATGCTAGGATGCGAAACCAACCACTGGAGGATCGAGAACACCGACCTTCGACCGCCAGAACCATCGGACCTCCACACATTCGCCGTTCACAAGCACCACAGGGCCGGAACATCCATACGGGTTTTCCTGCCTGAAAAGGCCAACTGCATCCCCAAGTTCACCATCACCAGCACCACTGCCGCCAAGGTATCCAGCCATCCGGTGTTGTCAAGCCCGATCACCAAAGGGATACTCCAAGCGCTCTCCTCACGAACCGGAGGGAAGCACTTGAGCGCGCTCTCAACCCTTTAGAATTTTGGAAGAGAAGACATCTTTTCCTTGTGCTATTTTTTTTTTCTGCGCGTTCTGCACAGATCCTATCATCTTTCGCCACTTCAAAAGCTTGATCATATTGGTTTTCCTATTTGTGCCACTTCATATGTTGATCCCCCAAAAAGGACCAACGGACCAACCAATTCACCCGCTCCTCAACGGGCACGGGGGTAAGCTGATCCTCCGCCATCTCGGACGTCGGCTTCTCTGGCTCAACACCTAAGCGTTCCTCCACTGTTCTCAGCCGCACCGCGAGCTTCTCCAGCTCCGCTTCCAGGCGCTGTTGCAGCTGAGTCAGCTCATTGGAATCGCTGCCTACGCGACAAAATGAGAAGACAAGTTGGATGCTCAAAGAGCTCCAGGGAAGTGTTTTTTGGAAAGCTGGAGCAGAAGAAACCAGACAAACAACCTATTAAAGGAAAAGGGATGAGATATTTCGAGACTCACCTGCATCAAGAACCCTTGTTCGGACCAGCGTGCCTATCTCAATCGACTTCAGTGGTTCGTCTCGCTCTTCGTCGAGGTTTGAAGGCAAAGCAGGGATGGGCATGGCAAACACCGACAACAGGGATGGCAGACACCAAAGCTCTGCTCGTGGTCCACAAGTTCAACAGTTCAACCTCTTTGAGATATATACTATCTGTGAGACAATGCTAGAACCGCTAGAACGACGGCTGTAGGATCTCTAGGGAGGCCTATGTCCGCTGTTGAGTGCCCCAGACCGACTGAAGTCTCTTGTTACAACCCTCAGACGCGACTTAAACCGGCACAACGTCACAACTCTGTATGTTGTTCTTTATTCAAGAAAGAACACAGACTTTCCGGAACCCCATATACATCCATGTACCAGTGCAACAAACATGGCGAACTACCGGAGGTTGATTGTTGGGAATACAAGTTTCCTCTACCTTCTACCTAATGCACTGCGTGAGTTCGATGCTCACCCCAGGTAAAACGATCTTCCTCTACCATCTGAAGGAAGTCTTCGGCCAGTTTCTATGTTGGTTTTGAAGAGTGTAAATCCCTTGATTAGACCACTGGTTGGTGGTTTCAACCCACGTGAAGAATATTAGTCAGTGGGTTCGATCATCCCAAGTAAAGGTTGAAAATAAGAATCAGAATAACTGAAAACCCCACCCAGATTACACGTGAACTTCCAAGCCTTTGTTGTTTACGCACTTTCAGGACCCATCTTTGTGAGCTTGAGCCGACGGGATTCACGAACTGCTCTTTTTCGCCAAAAAGCTCCAGCAAGACCTATTGCCATGATCTCCTGGCCATTTGCTGCCTCCCAAAACTTACAGAAACACGCCACGTCCAAGCCTTCTGATTTAGGAAGTCCTCTGACTCAAATCGCCGTCCATACTTGTTCAACAAAAAAATACTATGCCTGCCATGCTTTGCCTTCAACACAAGTGGTTTTGCCCGCCCAAAAACTTCAAACCACATCTGATACAACATCCTCGAAAACAACCCAACATGAAACCTCTTTTTTAACATTCTGGATTCCCAGAAACCCCACATCATCACAACCAGAACAGCTCTACAAGCTCGCTTAGAGACCCACCAGACCAATCAGAATCCCAACCAAACGCCCCCTCAAAAACATGTCCAAATAACCCATCTGCTTGTTGGAGATGCCCCTTCGCTTCCCCCAACATCACGAGCGACATCACCGGACCCTTCGCAAAACCAGCGAAACCAGCGTGGTGCAGGTCGGGCTTTCCCAACCGACGGGTGGGGCGGGAAGGGTTTCGAGAAAGATTGGACATGCTACTAGGGGCTCCTGGCCTTACTACTAGGAACAAGAAGCTACATGGGTGCGTCTTTTGATGTCTTTTGTATACTGAGACCCCCAGGCCTGACGGCTGAGTACAGGTCTGACGCGGAGACCATTTGTCCAAAGCGTAATCAGGTCGGAACGCCGACAGGTCCTTCCCTTTTTTGTCCAACACTTGGAGCGTAAAATGAGAAGCGTTGATTCGAGTGTATCATCTATATACATTTCACCCAAAGACCGCATGGGATAGACTCACATGTAGATCGCGGTCGTACCTGTCAGAAAGGCGGTGTCCACCTTGGTGATGGCACTGGATTGATTCATCAATTGATTATGACTATGATTGATTCATAGGATTGCTCCTTTTGACCGTCCCCGCACCAAGCCAGAAAAACTCCACCTGGCTGCGATGTCAGTCCTTGTCGGCCATGCTCAGCTGAGCACCTGGCTGCGTTGAGTCTCCAAGTCATCTCCGTGCAAAAAGGAAAGACTGTAGAGCGAGTCGAGCTGAGGATGAACCGAGAAGGACGGTCCAGTTGGGCATCTCCCACGACCTGTGGAAAAAGCGGATGGGGCCCGTTTGGTTGCAGCTTGGTTCCGTTTGCGCAAGGCTCACCAAGCAGCACGACGGAGCATTGGCTCCGCTCAAGTGACCGGTAAACTGCGACACACCCGAGACGGCTTCGCGGTGGTTCCTCGTTCGCGTTGTTCAGAACTTGAGGCCACGGGTTGCCAAGGAAGAAATACAAAACAACTTGCCTTGCAGGTGTAATCAAGTGGATGCTTCACCCCTCGGTGTAATCAAGTGGATGCTTCACCCCTCAACAATTCGGATGTTTGTGGTTTTGCCTCAAAGAGGGTTTTTTCTGGACACGGGAGTTCTTCTCTTTCAGACGGTTTGTCCCATGGCGTCTCCCGCCTTGTCCCAGCAACAATTGCACTGCCTGGGGGCGGTGGAGAGACGGGACGGTCAGTGTGGGTATGTTATCACAGTGGATGATTCGGATCCGGTCGACCAGGTCCCAAAACCAGTTTGACTGACCTTTGGAAACCAAGCTGCCACAAATATGCAAACTGTTTCAAGAAAGAAACCCAGCCCATTGGACCTGAGGATGATCGAGGTCTGTCTCGCGTGCTGGGAACTCGTGAATTCATTGGGAAGATTGGCATACTGACTCATCCTTGTGACAATATGTGACAGTGCGGTCACCGCCCAGTCGCGGGTGAAGATGAGAGAGTCCATTCTCGTCTTCGCATTGATTCATGCCGTAATGTCGACTGAATGAAACACCTCTACCAGAATGGGTGTACATCTTCAGATGTTAGGTTTGATTCATCAATCGTCGATCAGACCATGTCAGGCCATGTCCATCCATTTCCGCTCAGATTCGACTCCCAAAGACCTGATTTAAAGCTTCCATCGACTCCTCAAGCTTTGACCCCAAACGTGGAAGCGAAGAAATTCTTGACCGCCCTGGGTGTTTCTTGGGTCGGCCATGACCCACAGGAGAGAGCGCATCTAAATCTTTTCTTCCAGGGCCCCCGTGTCAAACAAACGGTGTCGAAAAATCGGTGTCCTGACAAGAGGTGATTCCGGGGGCGTCACTGCCCCAAACCCAAAACCGTTCTTTGGCGTTTGGACTCGATCAATGGCTCACGCGTGGGCGTTTGGGGGTCCCATGCTCCGGTGGGGACATGCGCCAAACCGGAGTCGCGAGAACCGATCCAAGGAAGATCACCCATCATGGGTCTCTAAGAATGAGGTGTTCACCAAAACATCGGAAAAATAAGTCGCTCAAGAAGACGGACCAGGGCTTTTAAACCCCCTGTACTTACCCTCCATTCCCCTTGAGCAAGGCAGCAAGGCTGTGGCTCCACTCCACCTCACCACCGGTGTCGTTGAGCCTCGGCTTGACCCCTGCGAGCAGCCAGGTGGAGGGCCTCGGCACTCGCTTCGCGAAGGAGTGGAACGAGATTGGTGGCAAAACGGACAAAGCCTTGTTGGTAGCGAACCTTGCTACCTAGTAGTAAGGCCAGGAGCCCCTAGTAGCTTCTTGTTCCTCTTGGAAAATGAAGAAACTTCAAACATTGGTCCATGTCCATGTCGACCTAATGTTGGCGTGTTTCCACAGGGTCAGTCGCAAACTGAAGCCTGAAGAACGAGCTCTGATAATTCACTCTTGGGATATGCTTGGGACGTCCTCTTTTGATTCCGGAATCCGCTCCAAACCCGGTGATCCCGATGCACTCAGGAACAAGTTGAGTGCCTTCAACTCGATCTTGAGGGGCTACAGAGTGTGTATGAAAACGGAGAGTTAGGCTAGGATGTCTCAGTCTCAGATCAGGCTGACTCCTCAACTCCTCACACCGCTGCGGGCAAGGAATCCACACCTCTTTGCTTCACATCTCCATCTTTGCCCCACATGCTCAAGGGGACATGGCATCCAAGCTCAACTCAAAATTGCAAGGGAACACGAAACACCATTTATTGACATTCTGAAACCATCCAACCGCCCCCCTGTGCTAAAAGCAAGGGCATGCCCATTGTTATCGTCAACCAGATGGGTCGTTCACAAGTAGGTTCACCCTCAATGAGCCCCAGCAAGTCACACCCGAAACGATCGTCCAAAACCGCCAGGCCACCGTCTTCTCCCAGGCCCCCCCTGGTATCTGGCGCAGCCCTGGCGGTGCGTCTCTTTAACAAAGGTCTTACAGCCTTCAATCTTCAAAAATCATCAACTAAAATGGCCTCACGGTGTGGAATCGATCCTGTACACATGCATAACTACAGTATATAGTCACCTCAGCTTGGCCTTCCGGTCGACTTTCAAAAAGAGAGGATCTTTCTCATTGGCAGTCCGACAAAGGTTCTTCAAAGAGCCTTTTTTCAACGGCCGTTGGGTATCTACAGTTGCAAATTGCCTTATCCCAGGTGCTACACCTGTGTCTTGTAACCCCTTATGTGTGTCCTAAAAAATCTGCCAGGTCTGGAATAGGCCGATTGGCAATCTTGACAGAATTACTTCAGAAAAAGGCCAACGAAAGCCAACTGAGTTCTCATGGCCTCAGTATAAAGACTTCGAAGAGTTCAAATCTCCTCCACACCGACCTCAGTTCTCTCCGCGTCTCAGCCCGCAGTCCTCTGGTTCAGCAAGATCTGCAAGATCCGCACCTGCGCCGCTTGTCCCGTGTACCTGGCGGTTGCAGTGAAATTGCACCAAAACGCAAGAATGGACTCTTGGGAGAATCTCAAGAGACTCAGTTGGGTTCACGAAGAGGTCTGAGGCCAGACCTGCAGTCTTCAATGTCACCCCCGAATCCCGGATCTGAGGCTCTAGCGAAGCTAAGTGCAGCGGGGTGTCATGGTGCTCGTCCGCCGCGCCAAGCTGTGCCTCACCGGCGTGGTAAACCTCCTCACCGACAGAGGGGTGGGGAGGTTGACCTGGGACGAATGGAAGGCTTCATGGATGCTACGAGTGAAATGAATTTGCTGGTATAATAGCTCAAGAGATCCATAGAGTGAGCCAATTCCACAACCCAACTGGGTCGCTCCGGTCCTTCAGCTTGTGGCCTTGTCTCTTGGGCCAATCACCACTGCTGAATTCGGTGCTTTGATATGCCACTTGCCAACAAAACAAGGCATCCAGATCCATGGTAGGGTGATTAGCTACCCCAGTTGTCCCTGTGTTGCCAGCATTGAAATACGTATGTTTTTCCCTCTTCCTCTTCCAGCAAGTACGCCATGTTGAACTGAGGGCAAATACATAATGTTGTAAGGTCCTCAAAGGCCAGGTGCCCAGGCTCTTACAAAAAACCTCGTCAAAGATGAATACAAAACCCAAAAGACCAAAAGGTGGAGAAACAGGGACGGAGTGACAGGACGTGACAGGTCATAGGAGTGACACCTGACGGAGTGACCAGAGGCTTCGACAAACACTCCATTCATTTTTGCGACGCCGCTCGAAAGGGGCCTTCGAGTCCACCAACAATTGCGCCACGGACACTCCGCCTGCGAAGCTGCGTTGCAACCCAGTGAAAAATCAACCTGTGGGTGTGTGAGTAGCATGTTTTGAGCTAAATCCAGGCCTTTTGCTAACAACTGGCTTGCAACGTCTACTGAAAATAGAGCAAGGAATACCGAATGCCTCATCATTGTCAATGCTCGAGATGTTCCAGGTCTGTATGTTTCTTCCAACAGGAGGAGAACCTATCCATAAGAAAAAGCTGGCGGCTCGCTTGGCACTTCGGTGGAAGCCAACCTATTCAGCACAAAAGATCTCTCGGCGTTGCTTTTGCAGTTCTGCAGGTCAAGGACCAATGCTGATGATTTGACGAACAACACCGGACAGGAACATGGACAACATGCTGCATGCGGAACAAGCTTAGAAACATCTCCATGTTGACAAGTGGTCAGATAGGTTCTAATTAGGTAGATACAAACAATACCTCTACAACACACCATGCCTGTGCTACGGTTCGTTCTCTGCTCTGCCCCCCCGCGCTCAGCTCCTCTCAGACCAAATTCGTCTGCGTGTCAAACCACAAAGACCCAAAACCATGCAAAGCGTGAATATGCTGTACCAGGCAATGTTGAATTGCCACTAAACCCACTTCAGGCAACACAGTTAATCTCCCCGGTTGTCATTCTTCAGTGAACATAGTCTTCTCTTCATGTTTTAAGTAATTTGGGGTTCGCACCTCATCACAGCCCTTTATGCCGGGCCTTCGTAAGCAGCAGTGTGCAAGGGTGTGTGTTGGCCCAGCTTGTCCTTCGACATGGATGGAGGCTTTGCGAAGGAAGGATTCGCTGAATAGAAACTAAACAAATAGAGCCCTTGCCTGGAGTAGAAGGGAATAAGTTAATAAGTGGTGTGGGTTTAGCTGTACAGCATCTATTCAATAAGGACATACTTTAAGAGGTTGACAAAATGAGCCTGCAATCATCGTACATCTGTGGAACCTAAGGTGATCTTCACCCCACAACATGCGCGTCGAGGTCGTTGCAGAAGGTTGTGTGCACAAGGGTCCCACACCCAGCCCTTTCAACTGGCCTTGTTATGCAAGCTCTTTCTGCTCTTGCTGAGAATCCCCTGGAAGGCTCTCTCCGGACGAAAACCCATGGACCAGAGGAGAAAGGATATGGGAATCTGGGAGTGTCTTAAGGAACTCGGTAAAAAGATAATACTCCCCAGTTCGGGAAAGCAAGAATCAGCAAGACCGAGGAATTCAATTAAGAAGTCGAAGCTTCGGCGTTTTCAGGATGCGTCAAGAAGCCTCGAACAAAACGAGCCACCGCAGAAACCCGGACTCTTCAGTCTGTCACATGCGCAGAAATGTGTTCAGCAACTGAGTCTTCCGATGTTCTGTTCTTGACCAGGGCCCTGGTTTCGGGATGTCTCATAATAGCCCCTTAGAGATTGAGGGGTGTCCACCAACCACCCCATGGCCTGGGGGCGCCAAAACGCTGAGCAGATTGGACATCGGGTCACGTGGTTCCGGCAGGTTCCGACAGGTGCCTTTGCGACCAGCACTTCGTCGTTTCGAGCCGCATGGTGCAGATTCCTGGCAAAAAAGAGATCGATCTCTCAAGCAAACTGAAACAAGGATTCACCTCTCTGAAACAGCTGATGGCCACTTACCCACCAACTTCTAGATACGTCAAGATGATGTTCAGCTATTCTGCCCAAGTTGGGGTAGAGAAAATATAATGAATCCACTCCACTGCAAAAATGAAATCATGAATAACCTCCAATGTTCCATGAGGTCCAGGATGTTGTGTATCAACCATCATAGATGCAAATATCATCAAATATCCATATGTCACAAGTTGCATCAAGTTGCTGTAAACTGTGCTTGTTTTGACTCTGGAAACAAAAAGTTGTACACTTTCCATTGCTGTCCTGTCGTGGTTCACGTTTGTGCCACAAGCACTGCCCATCGTCAAACAGCTGGAGCAGAAGTCAGGACAGCTTGAGGCTCCTCATGTCATTTATCTTAGCCCCATGTGCCTGTCTCACTAACTGTAGGGAGTTTTGTATCTTTTGGAGGCTCCTTTCAAAGACACGTGGGCGTCATGTGCAAGAATCGTTCACTGTTTCCATTCACTGAGAACAAAAAGAGCCTCCTCTCCTTGACAACCCCCCCCAAAGACTCACGAAGGGTTTTTCAATGTCCGGACAGCCCTGCCGCTCTGGTGGTGTCTCTTGTGGTGTCTCTCGGTCACCTCTCAATGGCCGTGGTGTTCCAACATTGGCAAAGGCGTCCTGTTTTCGCTCCATAGATCCCTGGCATGAGTGACTTGAGCAGGCAAGTGCGCGGGTAGGAATGAGCCAGAGCTGATATTGCCATGCGCATGGCAGCATGGCAACATCCCCAACGAAGAAAGGCACATGGTCCAAGCGCCCACGGAGAGGAGGCGCCCATGGAGGGCACAAGCGCCGTCTCTTTTTCTCCGGACTGGTCGTCGCAGTAAAGCGGTCGCAGGCGAAGTCGCAGGGCCCTGTGTGGGGGCCGGGTACATTCTCCATGGGGAATAATTCAGTCAAGCTGTGTCCTTTCTACAAGTGCAACTGGTTTCCGAATGCTGGCCAGGCCAAGAGTCAAGCACCCACTGCCCTGCATGACTTGCCATTCCTCACAAATCACTCAGAAAGCGCGTCGTGGACATCTGAAGCCCAGCGGAGCCCGAGAGATTCTGTCCCAGCTGCTGTTCAAAGACTTTCTGGATCGCCCTCAGCCGCGAGCCGGACCCCGAGGTGGTGGCGGGCTCAAGGGAGGTGGTGACTCCGTTGGTCAGCTGGTGACTGTCCAGAACGTGGTGGGAAGAGGTGCCACGTGTCAGGGACCATAAACTTATTGGTTGTACACACTTGAGGGTATCCCCTCTAGTACTGTGGCCATTGCTTTTTCTAAGAGATGAGAGAACCCCAATAATAAACTGTATGGGAAAAATACAAAACATGCCCTTTGTTACGAGTAGCTTCTTGCTACCTAGAAGCGTCCTTGCTCCGTTCGAGTCGCGATGGCCTTTGTTCCTGCCCTAGCATCCTTGTGTTGCCGTTCGTCGCCAAGGTGCGGGTTGGTCTGCAGGCGTACTGGTGGCTCACCGACCTGGACGATCTTCTCAATGATGATGTCGGCCACCTCCTCAGGGGTCTGTCCAGCTGCACCCGACTTGCCTGGGCCAGGTGCCACACGGTGCCAGCGAGTGGAGATGTCTGAACCAAGCAGGTTGCCTTCACAAAGCCAAGTACTGACGGGCAAACCCATTGCCAGCTGTTCTTCTTGTCTAGTAATGTCTAGTATATAACATTATATAACTATATGACCCAATTCGTTGAAGAGAGCAGTGCTGATCAGGTCTGCTCCACTTTCGCCAAGGCTCCATAGGCCGCCATGGTTGACTGCAAAGGCTTCTGATACTCCGCCGGCATCCTGGGTGCGACTTCAAAGCTTTGACCTTTCAGAAGGTAAGATGGAAAACCTCCCACAGAAGACGATCTAGGAAAGCTTCAGCTTGCAATGGAAAACCTCTGCGGCTCATGGACTGTTTTGAGGCCAAAACCCACTCTTGTGGTGTGTTACGGCGATGCAGCTTCATCATGCTTAATCCTGGAACATGAGACTCCATTCCAAACAAACAGCACATCCAAAATAGAATGAACGCGCGGCTCACCTCCCGTTTCCCCGGTTTTCCAAGCCGCGGCGCGAAGCAAACTCCGGCACCTGCGCATTGCTCCAGAAGGCTGACTTGATGGCGCCCGGCTCTACACCTGCACACGGAAAAAAGACGAACAGGTGGAGAACACCGTCAGATGCCAAGAACACGAGCTGGGGTCGCTTGAAGGGAGAACGTGCCATGCTTCGCACCGCACAAAAGTGGAAAAAAGCTTCCCCATGTTCAGCAAGGCCAAGAATTGCTGAGGCTTTTTGTTCAGTTGGTATGACTCGATTCAGTTGGAACATCCCAAGTGTCACAGGTGCGACCATCCCCACTGGGGACACCCCTTGATGTTCCCGTTCCCCACGAGATGGCAATGAAAGCGCCGAGACCGAGGTCGGAAGCTGGAGATGAGCGACCTCCGTGAGTTTGAGCGGTTTTCACCGAACGAACTCCACCGGTTCTGTTTCAGTAGGGAAACCAAGTAAACCATCCCCCGGAAAAGGGTTACAAATATGTGAATATATGCACATATATATATATGTGTAAATATTATATTACATAGTATAAAGGTTATCCACTGACTGGGTAGGTAGTGCGTGAATCGGTTACAACATGACCTGGCCCAATGCCCGCCTGCGGCCGGAATGGCCGGTCGACCATAACCAATCCTCTTCGCAACGGAGGCAACTTCATACCGGTCATCCCTGTGTCGTCATTGACTTGAGTGGGAGGGGGTGAAGGATCCTGCCCTGTAGCTAAAGCTAATTGAACTCAGGTAGCTGAAGCTACCTTTCGTGACTTCCTATTTCAAAAGAAAAAAGTTCCAAAAGAAAGTACCTCTGGACATGGAAAAAAAACCATGTCCAGCAAGGCTCGGCGATGCTTCCCAACGTTGGCATCGAGATGCGCTCCCCAACTCTCAGACCATCTCAGACCCAGTGACAGGAGCAATAGACGCCGAAGGTCTTGAAAACAGGCGCCTAAGAGTGCGGGGCACGGATCTGAAATCTCCCCCCGGAAAAGTCATGCGCCCCAGGCACCAAAATCAGCCAATTCATCCACTGCCCTATGTCTTTTCAGGAGATCCCACCAAAGAAGGATGTCCTGTTGGGAATAATAGAGGGATCGGTTTCATACCAGTTACCTCTTGGTTGTACACAACCAGGTCTCCCCTCTATTAACCAATCAACCAAGGGCTTCCTGGGCGGCTATCGGTCTTGGGAATGATGCATGCCCAGAAGCCAACTGCGCACCGTTTTACGGAGGAGGCCCACGCAAATACCCGGGCCTGGCTTTCGACCATCCCTTCCAAGGCAAACTTGGAGGCACAGTACACGTCATTGAAGGGTTGACCTGGCTGGTCACAAGGCCCCAAGGCCCCCGAAGGCCACAAGGCCGTTAAAAATTGGCCGGAGTGGGAGCATCTCCTAGCACTTAACATGGAGCATGGACATGCAACAACATTGATAACAACTGCGCTTGGAACTTAAGAACTGGCATTGAGAAAGGTGACAGACTAGCTAATCTTGTTTCCAAACCTGCAGGATCTGGAATGCAAGTTGATAGTTGAACATGGCAGATGGGTGAAGGGAACGGCAAGTTCAACGGTTTCGCCCTTCACATCACTCTTCCACGGTAGTGTTCTTCTTCATCAATCGACGGTCGAAGAGTCGCGAGCTCCGTGGCGAGCTCCATGTACAGCCATGTGTTTTGCATGTGTTGGTTTACAGTGCGTTTGTTTGCATGTTAAGAAGCCTCTTTTTTTGTGGTGTACAAAGGGCATTTGGGACATTGGCCTCTTTTTGGCTGTACATGAGGCCCACATCTCTCAGTAAGAACATGTACAGCCAAGAGGCCCCAAATACCTCCCACTGAGGAGATGTTGATGATCTTCCCACTCTTCTGTTCTCGCATATAGGGCAGCACTGCTTTCTGACACCGGATCACACCGAAGAGGTTCGTTTCGAACTGCGCCTCAGCGAGGTGGATGGGCACCGTGATTTGAGACATCGAATTGCCACCCTAAATCCTGATTGATGCTGGCTTTGAGAGGGTTCATCTGACTTTCTTGTCACCCATTTCTATGACCGTATCATATTTCTCAGCTTGCTTTGATTGGACCGCGACCCCAGCGGGCCACATCTCTTTCGAAGACTGGACTTCAAGATTTGCTGGAAACTCTTTCAAGGTCCATACAGCAGCGATGGCTTGATTCCTGTGGCAAAAGCCCCTTCACTTCAACTCCTGATCAGCCCCTCTAAGGAGACATATCGACTGCATATGTAGATCCAACATACACATCTATACATGTAGTGGTTTCAGAGTAGATGGCACCAAACCCGAGGACGTCTTTTATATGGAGGTCCATAGAAACCACCTTTAGGGGGGGTTTATGCCATTACTCTATCCACTGTACTTTTATATAGACACCTGTCATTTTCTCAGGAATCCCATCACATCGGATCGGTCGCCCTGTGCAAAAGCCCGGGGGCGCAGAGCGAGCGCCATGTTCGTGACGTGACGAACTTCTGCGTGACCGTAATGGTAAATGGTGGTGAATTCTTGATGCGCAGGGTCCTCTTCTGGGTTACTCTATGGGTCCAAGGAAAGTTGATCGCCCTTTCAGACACAAGAGTAGGCTTTTCAATGCTCACATCTGGCCCATGTGTTTCATGCTTCGCGCCTTCACCGCGTCCATGGACAGAAACTCCACGCTGCCTGCCTGGCTATAGCCAGCATTGTTCACCAAGACATCCACTCGCCCAGCCTCCTGCCGAAGCGTTCACGTCCGGCAGGTTGGTCTTCTTTTCATAGAAGTGCTGAGAGTATCTTACTTAGGTGTTCTCTTGCAATACTTTCTTGGTCTTGTTTTCGCCCCAAGTATTTATTTATGGGTATAATATGGTGTATCTTATAATATATATATATATGTATTATATGTATGTTCTTCCAGAAAAAAAACGCTGCCCCGCCGTCTGAGATGACCCACGCGGTGTTGACACGGTCGGTTGAGTTGGGGAGGCTGAGTTCTTCAGTGTTCTTCTTGACAACAGGCTCAGCTAGTCATGATCAAATTGTTTCTTCAGTACTTCCAAGTAAAGGTTGCGAGACCTAAACTGGTACCCTATATATTCTATATAGTGGTACATCCATCTGGGATATGGCGGAGAATTGGGCCATCTCCCCAGGTTCGGGGAATTCCGATGGTGGTCCCATAAGAAGAAGCACACTAGCGAAAGTGCCTCGAAGTGCCTCATGCTAGCGATCTGGCCATCCGGTGGCATCTCCTGTGATTTGGAAGTGGCAAAAATTAAATAGAAGCATTCCCATCCCAAACCAAGGTTCCAAACGCCCAGGTCGTTCTCAATCTCGAGGGCACGCCCAACAATTGAGCCAGCTACTTAAAGCAGTGCTTTCTTCCAACCATTCTGAAATCAAAGTTCCCACTTCCCAAGTGTCTGGAGAGGCTTTCTACTGCATTTCAATGCAGTTGTTTCATGTTGTTTCCACTCTCTTTGACTTCGTTCACCCTCTTGAAGGTAGGTCTAAGACTCCAACTCATTCCAAGCCTTTTGCTCAGGCATCGCCCCTGGGATCCCTGCATTGGTACCAAATGAACTATCCAGAGATCTCTTGAAACTCCTTTTGCCCCTCCCAGCCCCCCCCCCAAAGATCCTTCAAGGCGGGCGCCAAGCTTCCCTCCACCGATGCATCGACGTTCACGTCCAGCTCCACCGGCTTCACATTGGCCGCCACCGACGCGGCGGCCGCCGCTTCCAGCAACTGGTCCTGGAAGAGCTTCCATGAGAAAGGCTGCGGAAGGTGGAGGAACAATGGGACGAACTATGAGAAACAAGGTGTTAGTTTGTTGTGTGGGATGAAGATGGATGCAATTCCTGTTTGGCGATGAAGTCTTTGGAGATGATCACATTATCAAATTACCGCGGACACCTTTCTGGAGATGAAAAGTGTAAGCTTCATGTTCAAAAGATGATGTTATTGCCAATCAAACCCCAAAAGGCTTGCGAATTTGACCATGCGTCATGTCAAGGTGAGCTAAAACAGGGGTTCCCCCGCTGAAGCAGCGTGTCATCCCGCTGGCTCTCGGAGTTAACTCATTGCCACGTATCATAAAAGTCGATATGATGAAAAAAGAAACACCAACGACGGGGTCATGGAAGATGCATGTAAAAAATCCTACTATATAGACGATACTATTCACAGGTCACAGCAGATTGGTTGAGTGCAATCATGAATACGATGAGTCGGGCACTCTATCACCGGTGTTCACCAGCCCAGGTCTTTGTTTTTGTACGTTACAGACACGACTTGCCCGCTAGGCCCTCGTTGTTTTTCCTCCGCTGAAAGACTTGCCCGACGTGGAGTCCTCTTCCACACTCAAGTTTTTCTTGGATTACAAGCGACTCCCGAGCCGTTTCTCTGTAAAAGAAAGGTTGCGACCCCCCTTCCGCCTGTTGGATTTTTTCGTGGAGAGACCCATCTCCCAAAAGAGGTGAAAGCAGGCTATATATCCGGGGACTGGTAGGAACTTGCTGGGTTCCCAACATGCCACAGCTTGGCCATCTGAATCAGAACGAAGCTGTTAAATTGGAACCACATGTCCTGGACCTGCCGAAATGGATTTCGAGAAACCTGCCGAAACTGGACTCTTCACTTGGGCGTCAAGTTCCCTTCGCCTTCGCCTTCGGTGTTCTTCGCATGAAGGATCCTTCTTCGTCAAGTTCCTCATGCCCGCCAACACCAGGTGGCTCTTTGCCAGCTTCACGGACAGGGCCAGGCCCAGGCCGGAGTTCGCACCGGTGACCACAGCGACCGGGAGCGCCATCGCCACTCCTGATGCGACGAGAAAAGGAGGCGATGGTTTGTTGGGATGCTTTTGGAAGAGTTGGTTTGGGAAGGGACTAAAGGGAGTCCTTCTGGCAACTGCAGGCTTACCAAACAGCTCTCTAGGATTCAAGGCGCCAGAAATTCAGAGAGATTGCCTTGCTGATTTTAGTTCCTATGCTCTTGCAAGAAGGGTAAACCAATGGCATCTTATCCGGAGTTTCCACATCGGCCAAACTCCCAGTTGGCCACTACATGTCTTCTGATCGTGGCACCTATGTCGGAGTCTGATCGTGGCCCTCTCCTGCGAACAAACATGGAAACTGCCAGTGGTGGTTGAAGAATCGATTCAGCTCTACACCGGAGGGGCCCGGGAGGGTCGGTCAGTTTGCATATGAAGACCCATGGAAGTGTTCGAGACTCGCATCGCGTCACGCAGTCCCCCGAAATGCTACTGCTGTTTTGCCCCTTCGAGGCTCGTCCGTTGGTGGTTTCAATCCACTTGAAAAATAATTTTGAGTGGGATCAATCATCCCAAGTAAAGACAAAAACTAAAAATATCTGAAACCACCACCCCCTGGCTCCTTGAGGTAAATGGTTGTACAGAGCAACGAATACTGCGCGTGGCGCTTGACTGTTCGAAGCTGCGAGGCCAACTTCGTGGTGGCGATGGAAGTCTAAACCAAACCAACATCTCTGTTCACGCCTGGAAGCTGTTTCAGAAGCAAGATACAAATGATTGCACCTCCCTCCGGTCCTACCTACTCCCGCCGGTCCGTGTGGATGTTCGGTCCGGATGGTTCGACTTGGGCGGATGTTCTCCAACTTCTCTCTACCCAAGTCTGACCGAGCCAACAAGGTTAGCATGACACGTCTTCGAATTTTCCACCGACCGCCGGCGACCGCTGCAGGGCAGGTGTTGCAAAACCACCAGCTCTGCATGTCAGCGGGCAGGGTCTATGGCTCAACTGCTGCATGCAGGGCAAGGAGCAGTCGAATTTCTTCAGAGGGGAAGCCATCAACTTCACAGGATTGATCAGGATTGCATCTGATTCTCACACCTGCTTTCACAAAGAGTCCTGGAAGTCACATGGCGAAACTGAGGATTTCTCAAATCTAGTCACAGTCAGAAAGCTTCCTCTCAAAGACCCCAAACACAAGGTTTCGTATCCTTGAAACAACTCATGACAACGACGACGACTACGATTACGATTACCACTACGACTACGAATACCACTACGACTACGACGACCACCACCACCACCACGACGACTACTACTACTACTAATTCTTATTTTACTTATTCTATGTTTCTATGTTTACTCTTAATATTATACTCCTACAACTTCTACTTCCAAACTTCTACTTCTACTACTACTACTACTACTACTACTATTACTACTACTACTTCTACTCCTACTACTGCTACTACTACTTCTTCTACTTCTTCTACTTATTCTACTTTTACTTCTACTTATACTCCTACTACTTCTACTTCCAAACTTCTACTTCTTCTACTACTACTTCTACTTCTACTTCTACTTCTACGACGACTACTACTACTTCTACTTCTACTTCTTCTACTTCTTCTACTTTTACTTCTACTTATACTCCTCCTACTTCTACTTCCAAACTTCTACTGCTTCTACTACTTCTGCTTCTACTACTTCTACTTATTCTACTGTTATTTCTACTTATACTTCTACTACTTCTAATTCTACTTCCAAACTTCTACTTCTTCTACTACTGCTACTGCTACTGCTACTGCTACTCCTACTCCTACTCCTACTCCTACTCCTACTACTACTACTACTACGACTACTACTACTACTACTTCTACTTCTACTTCTACTTCTTCTTCTACCACTTCACTACTTCTTCCGATCCGAACCCTGTGCTTCGTCCAGAGACTACTGGGCCCTCCAAAAGCTCGAAGCCGCCTCACGCTGCTCGGCGGGGCCTGCGGCTCCAAGGATCGGCCATCAAGAGATAAGGACCTAGCGATTCTATCGATGTATCGATCTCATCTATCTATCTAACACCTCAATTGCATCTTACTCTTCTTACTTTTGGGGTTTACTGTCCATCCCGTAAAGGTCCTCAAGGGTTTTGTTTGCAATGTGAAAGAGAAAGGGGAAACACCACACAACAAATTGGACAGGACGCAATCACGTGACAACGTTGATGATTGAAATATCCCATGTTTACTTGAGGACGACTGCAAAAACTTGTGTCTAGAAGTGTGCTGCCTACAGTATCACTCTGTTGCAAGTGGGTTTATATGTTCCAAGGAGTCCATCATGAAGGTAGAGTTGAAAAGATAGCAGCCATGACTCAGGCTGATAAATGTGTTTATTATTTGATTCTTGTGATTGCAAGGCTGGTGGACCAGACTTGTAGTTGCTGGTACTTGCGAAGTCCTTGAGATGACGTCAAGTGCTTGAAAGTGCTAATTGATGGAACAAATCAAACCAAAGAAGCACCGGATCGAAGGTTGGTCCTGAGGTGGAGACCTGTCTGATGGACCAGCCATCCGAGCTCCAACCAAAGGACATGATGAAAGCCTCCTGAGGTTCGTTGGTATTCATACAATCGAGACTCTTGATTAATAACCCCCTCCATTTGAATTGAAACACGTCTTTCTTCATATGGGGGGATTTATGAACCAAGAGTCTACAATACTAGATAGGATCTTCCAAAAATACATTCTTTCTTGGTACAGGATGTGGATCCATCAACAGCTTCCGGAGAAGTGACACGTGGCCGCTAGCGTGCCTGGCTGTCTCTACTGTGCTACACCTCAGCTTCCCGAAGCGAAGCGCTTGAGGGTCTTGCAGTAGAGCGTCCACAATGAGAGGCGCTATCGGAATCCAAAGATCTACATGCTCATGGGGAGGGTCCTCAGTCCTAAGTCCTCTAGCCATGTAACACCACCTCCAAAAGAACTGTGCACTTGGCTTTTTGGCTTTCGACCTAGTTGGAGCGGGAAGAAATCTGACTCCCTCAAACTAGCATGTCTCACCCACTTGGTCTGGGAAGCCTCTTCCAAACCTACCCGAGGTGGCTACCTCTAGGACTAGTCATGTCTCAAAACTCTCTGCACTCATTTCCGGGATTCTGCACCCCATTCAGGATGGAAAATCAGCCCTCCCCAGCCCCCGCAAGCCGCGGCACTGAATTGGAAATGTTGCGGTCGCATCTCCTTGGCTCACTTGCTACTCCGTGGAGAAAGCTGGGCCGTCTGAAACCAGTGGGAAGAAAGGTTTGAAGAAAAGTGGAAAAAGGGAAGAGAACCCTTACTCATACCCAACGGGAGCACCAAGAACCACTCACCCATCTTGAAACAAGCCCGATCCAATCAATCAATCAATCAATCAATCAATCCCATGCGTTGCGGTATGTCTTGTTTCAATGCAGTGACCTCAGGGTGAGTTTGATGGCAAACAGCTCAAGACAACACGGCTTGTTGGTGGAACTAGCGGCGATCCTTACTGCGGTGAAACTAGAACAGGTTGTAGCGTTGGTTGCAGTTTCCTTCAAGCAATCCTGCAAATATGGCAAGCAATGGATCTTGCCGAATCTTGCCGAAAGTCATGTGATGGTTCATGTGCTTGAAAACAGGATTGACTACGGCCAAATCTGTGTGTGTGTGTGTCTCTCAAATTTCGGCCACACGGCTGTTGTACCAGTGATCTTAATAGCCTGACACCGGTTGTTATCCATGACACCCCAAGGTGAATTCCATGGATGCAGGCCAAGAGTTGGATGAACAGCATCCCATGTCCGGCAATTATTAAATCAACCATAAATATCACCACCGCGGGGAACATCCGCGCCCGATTGCTGCTTGGTGCAGCGACCTGGGTGTCCGGGACCACTGTGCAGAGCCCGAGCGGCTGGAGCGTTCCTGAAGAAGTGGATGCCGCCACCTCAGGAGGGAGGATCCGGGGATCATCTGAGACCTCCCTGGCCCAATGGATTTACAGTCGATTTTTGGATCTTCCCGAATCTTTGAACGGTCTCCCCGATTCCACCCGAGCAAATGGGGCGGTCCGAGATGAAAAGAACCTCGAAAAACCGGCCGAGCCCGCCACACCCAGCCCGAAACCGAGCGCCCCCGGCTCTCAGCCCTTGGGCCACCGGCAATGACCTGGGGCGGTAAGATCTGGTCCGGTCAAGGCCCAGTAGACCTATATGGGGATGGGTCGTGACCTAAAGTGCAACCCTGGTCCACTGAGTTCGTTGGTAGGTCAACCAAGGTATTTCTCGTTTTGATGCACTGCCACATGGAGGTCCACCAATCTGAAGCTCCTGCTCGGCGGCTTTCTGGGGAAATGGACCCGCGAAGTTGGAGGCAGAGCCGTGCAACACACATGTGTCGAGTCTTGGGAGTGTTTGAATTAGTCTTTCTCAATCAAGGGGGGCTGCTGGAGGGGATTTTGGATGGGACCCTTACTTGGTTGGCATTGCCACCCCAAGAATCTGTAGCTGAGACAGAGGACCTCAAACCTGTTCCAGACACTCTGCAGGATCATGCAGGATCTATCATTCTCCCTGACTCCAAATCTAAGATCTATTAAATAGACCTGTTCAATAAGAGGCATCTACTGTATCTACCCGTTCTCAAAACGTTCTCATATAGAAGGCAGCATGCCCTGAACCTCGCGTCCCTCGCCCGGCCCTGACCGCCTGGGGTGGCGGGGACATGGGCGACGCCTCCCCCATCACCGACAGCAGCTGCATGCGATCGCGCTCAATCTCCTGACGCCGTGTCGACGCTTTTGGGGGCTCCGGAAAGCACCAAGGGGCCGCACCAGGGCTTTTCCACCAAAGCAAGGGAAGGAGGAAGGGTTTTGGCAGGTGGGCTTGCAGAACGTTGAGCATGTGTGACTAAAAACCTGGTATCTAACTGGTATTGAGAGCTGTGGATCAACTCTCGGCTCGGCCATTGACATGTCTGGCCAAGCATCTTGATCTCCTCTTCAATGAATAGTACACCATGCTGATATGGATATGTCCATCACTATTCGTTCTGGCACCCCAAATCACTGACCGACCTCAAACACCACCGACCGGTCTTTTTACACGGCCAACGAAGAAACCTGGAACGCGCCCCGTTCGGCTCCGTCTCCAGAGGTCGGGCGCAGCCCACCCGACCGGTGGCATCCGGGCAGGTAGAGCATCCAGAAATATCTTTGATGAATGGTCTTTCTCGAACGCACTTGTCTGTGGCCTCCCCTGCTAGCACGAACCAGCTGACTCTGCAGAAAGGGCAGAGGGCGTCCAGCGGACACATTAGCGCATTGTCCCGCTGTCATCCACTTTGCACCAAGTGGGTTGGCCTCAAACGCCACTGAAGCAAGATCGCTTTCGGCGCACTTCAGATAATTGCCAGTGGTGCGCCCCACACCCGGCCAGCGGTGTGACAACAGCCTTTGAGATTGCCACACAAGCCTAAGCGGCACTCTGGTGCATTGGCTCTTGTGGATAGGGCTGAAACAGAATCCAGGTAACTTCGACGGCCTGGAGACACACATGACTCATGAGAATAGTAGACTATAGTTATAGTTTAGAGTTTAGAGAGCAAAAGAGCTTGGAATTGAAATGACCCTGCGTTGATGCAGAAGCCCGATACATGCCATCTCGAACACAGCATCCCTGTCTACTAGGTGGGCAAAGAGGCCTTCCTGCAACCAAAACTGACTCTTGCAGCCAACCAAATCTTCTTGATCATTTATGCTGAAAAATGCTCTCTTCAGAACCTTGGTGCGGTGTGTGGGCCACTTTCACACGTCTTCCTTATGGACCAGTTGAGGGACAACAAAGGTGTCTGCTGTGTTCGACAGTGCGTCAAGTGCGACAAGAAGGCGGCGCCAAAGGCGGCGCCAACGACCCTAATGCTGTCAGGTAAGGAAGCTGCTCGAAATCACCAAGCTGTCCTCCAACAGCTTATTGAAGGCTGAGTTGCCTCAGTGCCAAAATCACTGCTCGGTAGCACCGTTGGCTAGCGAACTTGAGCAAGCCAGTCAGTTGGCCTCCCTTTCATTCATGAGTAGTAGCTCAGTAGCGGAATTGTTTTGGTAGGTCACCACAAACTCTTCAACTTTGGCCGACAAAAGTCATGAGCCCGATGTGCTGGAATAGAGTGGCGGTCAACTGAAGGACTACAGTATCTGGAAGTTTTGTGCCTATCATAGCGATCATGGGCCAAC